AGGTCAAATCTTGTTTGTAAGCCACAGATTGAAGAATCCAAATTAGGACCAGCTGTGACAGACAACGGATATGTTTAAATAGATAAATGTAAGAGATATATAGCTAGCACTTTTGACACATGGAAAGTACTTCATAACACTTTCTACAGAAATATTTGTTATTAATCACAGTAACAGTATTCAAGCAAAGAAATACTCAATGATGACTTTTTATCACATTTAAATATAGAATCACGTTAGTGCAAGTAAATGTTACATAAAAGCTAAAGAAAAAATGACAAAAAGCTAATACAGTAATACTCTTAAAGCATTAATATGTTAAGGAATTTTTAGAAAGAGGGTAATCTTGATGCATATACATTATTCTGTGACAGCAAATAATTTCAATACTATAAGAACTAAACACCCAGAGGTTTCTGCTTTCTGCAAAAACATTTTTATCACAGCAGATCATCCTTGCAATTCTTAGGTTACTCTGTAAATACTTTTATGTGAACAAACAATTTCTTTTTTTCAGTTTACAGGTTCTTTCAATTGAAAGAAACACACATATGTGTATATCTAGGTAAATATACAAATGTAGGTGCATTTCACTGAGCCATAAAATTCTTATTTTATATGAGAAGATCAAAATTTAACAATAGACCATGTTTCGGTTTCTTCATTATTGATTCTTGTGTGGGTTCAAACATCTCAGAAGTAAAAAATGTTTAAACAGAAACTTTAAAATATCATATACAAAGAAGGAATTAATGTAAGACCTTTCATCATTCAATTCTGAGACAATTTTATTTTAAATGTAATGCTTAAAAAGTGACTACACAGAAATGAGGGATTAAAAACAGAAATAAAACCACCAATAATTAGTTTTTAAAATAACAAATGAAGTCCTACCATCTATTTAACAGAATAATTCTATCACTGCCTTTCATCTGAATTAATTTCCATATAGAATACAGTATTTATAATGGTACGTATGTAACAAATATATCTTAAGTAGAAGTTTTATACTTATAGTCTCTTCCATATATTTGAATATCTTTAGTACTGTTTCATAACACACATGCTTTCAATATCCAGCAATAAACAAGACGCCACTTGACAATCAATGAAGTAAATGAGGCCTTTTAAGGAATGTGTATCCTGCTTCCTAGCCTCTACAGATGAGCCTCACCCACCATTCTCACTTGGCCAAAGAAAGAGAAATGAATCTAAATTTCATGTTGAAAAAACAAACTGGAAATTTGTACATCAAACACCAACTTGTTAAATTATTTACTTTTTATTTTTTCAAAAGCTGTTGTTCTTTTGCCTTTAGTGAGGGGCACAGTTTCTTTGTGAAAATGAACCTTTTGCACACAGCAGCAAACCAACTTGGTAAAAAATGTAAAAATGAGGGCCTCATGTGTTTTTCCAACCATCAGAGTTGTCCATTGATTTGTGTCCAAAGGTGTTTTCAGAACTGACAGGTTAGCAGGTTGGAATCTTCGTTTCATTAGGACCTATCTTAATATTGTTTAAGGACTACAGATTCCTCTGGATCTGGGTTTAACTTAGCTTGTCACCATTCCATGTATAAACTGACCAAACCAGCACTAGTTTCAACAATTTGGTGCCTTCATTATAGTAAGTATATGTTTTTTTTAATACAAAGTATAAGGATTATCACTGAAAACTTACCACTTATGAGTCTAATGGTTCATTTTTTGAAATTTAGGATCCTTTCATATATTTTGCAATCTGAACTAATATACTTTTGTATAGTTTTATACTACCCTCCACTTGGTATAGATGAAGAATACATTTGTATTGTCAAATAATAGAATGCTGAGTCACAATGATAATGGCACAAAGTGACTAGATAAGAAATATAAAGTTAGTTAAGGTATTAAATTTTAACTAGTTATCTCATTACAGAAAAGGTCAGGTTTAGAAATCATTGATCAACACAGTGAGTACAGTAACGTACTCTTAATGTACCTAATGTATGCAGTTCAGAATAGAATCTACATTTAGAGGCGAAGGAAAAATCCATTTATTTTTAGGCTTATATCTTAATATAGTGATGAGCTGTTTTTAACTTGGAGTTCACATTAGCATTTTATCAATAGATTACTGGTAAAGATCATGAAATTATTATAATTTTAAAAATTTTCTGACTTTGACATTTACTTGTCCAATATATATGTTTCTGTCCTTTTTTGATCATTATTAAGTGGAATATGTAAGAATGTTAGCTTTGTTTTCTGATTATTGTGAAATAAATAAATTGATCCTTAGAATACTTTCAACTATATTTATCAAGTAGGTTGCTGTCTTTCATTATTATCCCAGTGGTCCTTTTGAAATTATGAGTTTTAGATTGTAAGGAAAGCTCAGCCTTTTATAGGTGCCTTTGATTCTGAGTTGAAATAAGAAGACATCAGTAGACAACAAGTAACTGGGCATATAGGGAAATTGCTTACGAAATCTAAACTCCGCAGTGTTGCTGCATGATGCCATAGCAGTAGAAAAGGAAATAATTCCTTTCCCCAGTATTAAAAAAGAGAAGATATTTTGTTTATGTTTGTTTTAAACAGCAAACAAAAAAGTAAGATGAAACCCTTACGTAACACATTCATATGTCATCTGTTATGTCATACCATTAATATTTAAAATATATCACTTAAGAAATCATATTTATTTCTCAGTACCATTATACTTATCAAAATTTAACTATTTATTAAGATATCTACAAACAACAATGCATTTTAACTTTAAACTACCATATTAAAATATTTTTCCATCTAAGGAAAAGAAAATGTTGTTTAATAAAATCAAATGTCACCTCTTTTAGCATGTAGATACTTGTTTTATTATTACCAAATTTGATCTCAGATGTTTTATTTTCACTTATTATCATTTTGAATGGAGAAGTTTATGATTAGAATATTATTGATTTTAAAACATGCAGGTGATAATGTAATTTAAATTAATATATTATTGAAATAATTTAGAAAATAAATCTGGTCTCAGAAACTTTTTTATTGCACAGGAAGTTTTATTATGTTATTAATAATAAATAATAATAAATAATAATAAATAATAATAAATAATAATAAATATACATTGTAAGTGATTTGTCTCATTTAGAAAGACACGGTTATAAAACTATCAAGAAAAATGAAACAGCAGATTCTGTGTCTCTACAATGTGTGAATCAGGCACTATAGCTACTGAGAATATTTTTACTTATTTTTAAGAGACATTTATTGATTTATACCTTATTGTCCAGAACTATGTGACACCCATACCATCCAGATAATAGGAGTGGATGGGAAAATCATTTTTTAATAAGAGAAAAAAATTAAAATCATATTTTTGAATGAAAACATTTATCTTGATCATGATGAATATAAAAACTATTAATGAAAATGAGGATTTTCAAAATTATTCAATATTACAGTAAGCAGACTACCTTGATTACCTGACCTCGCTGGATTCCTAAATACCCTGCTACTTGTGTCTTTTTATTTAAGCCTTCACTATATACTCAGTGTAGGAGGTTGAGAGATAGACCAAGACCCTGGTAGGGAATGATGCTATTTACCAGTAATTTTTGATTAATAGTTATGATAACTATTACATTTCTGCTCGATATATTTATACTTTGCAGATGTACAATGCGTCATCCTCATATCACCTTTGCTAAAGATTTCTACTTGAAATTACCTTGTTAATACCATAAGCATTTTTAAATATTGTGTGTGACTTAAGGCTCTTTGCTCACGCTTGTTTAATATTTTTCTCTTTGACTTAGACTTGTTATAGTTTTATTGCAATATACTTTGAAGAGGATGTTTTTGATTAGACCTACAAAATGTCCATTGAGAATTTTAGATCTTGATGTCTTTATATTTCCAAAGCTTTCTGATATTTACCCTAATTATTTTGTCCAACAGATTTATTGTATCTTTTTTTCCATTTCCACTCTTAACAATTATAAAATAAATGATTAATTCCTCATTTAACAATATCTCATAAGTCTCAGACTTCTTTTTTTCATTTAACTTAATTATTTTTCTTTCCAGGCATAGTGGCAAATGCTTGTAATTCCAGAACTTGAGAGACTGAGGTAAGAAGACTGCTGTGAGTTCAGTGCCAGCCTGAACTGTAGAGTGAAATCTTGCCTCAGAAAGACAAAAAAAAAAAAAAAAAAAAAAAAAAAAAAAAAACTTTTCCTTTTTATAGTCTGTTTGGATCTTATTAAACAACATGTTACTAATTAATAATTGCATATTATAATTATTTGCTTTTCCTACTGTATTTGTTGTTGAAGTCTTTATTTTTTTTTTTTTTTTCATTCATTAGCCTTTTTCATTCTAAGATTTTTTTGTGTGCTTCAGTGTCATGTCCTACACAGCTCTCAAAGTTCCTGGAGAGAAGGATGGCGAGAGGATGGAGAACTAACGATAAAAGACAGAAAGCTGAAGTCAGGTGGAGCCCTCTCTCCCAATGGGAGAAAAGGAACTGCTCGACCACTACATTGCATGTACTTATATATTTGTCATGTAGCATTCTTTTGCTTAACTAACTAGCCTCTCATGCCCTGTGTCCTTGGGGCTGGAATACCTGTTCTGCACTGGTTTGATGATAGGTTTGTGATTTAAGATAGTGTTACTTTAGCTACTTCAAGTGTAAACAATGCATGTGATGTCTTTCTTAGTGGCTTAGGCTATGGAAACTGCAAATGCACTGCTGTATGAGATATATTTTTCATCTGGGAGTTCAGGTTTTGTTGCAGCACTTTACAGCTGTTGGGGCTGTCAGTTTACATTGGCTAAATTCTGTGTGTATTGGGCTTGGCTGGATGTTTGCTTCAGTAGGTTCAGGTGGAAATGCTGTGTAAATGAGTTTATGAGTGTGGGAGGTGATACTGTCAAAGTTTTAGGGTTGCCATGAGCCAGGCTGCTCAGTTGGGCCTCCTAAGACAAGCAGTCATTGTTCAGAACTTGGCAATATTCCCTTAAAAAGTTCAAGCTGTTCAATGCAGGCTGTCAAGTTGCTTTCTAGCTTGGAAAATGTAGGAAACAGACCTCTCTCTTTTCTATTTCTGAGGCTTTGTAGAGAGAGCACTTTGCAATGAGCTGTGAAGTTCTTTCTTGAGACCAAAGCCCTGAAAAAGCCCTCCTGGATGGTGCCTGAGAACTTCAGCATGCTTACCCTCCTTGGTTTCTTCCTGGGATCAAGGATGTGGAGGTAGGACATTTCCTTTTCTTCCCAGGCACGCTGTGAACAGAATCGAGGTGAGCTGCCTTTATTTTCTAGTGCTGACAGCAGTTGGTAGGGCTGTCTACACAGATTCTGAACCTAAAGGTCTTTGGTTAAAAATGCCTGGCTGATTACTGGGCATCTGTGGGAGGCTGGCTGATTACTGGGCATCTGTGGGAGGGGATGAGACATTAAAATGTTTCTTGAATGCCTTTCCCAATTAAATCACTAAGGGAGGATAGGTCAACAGCATCATGTCCTACAACCGGACTGGGCAAGTGCACAGATATTTCATAACACCCCATTTGTACAGCACCTCAAGGTGGTGGTTATTATCAGATACTTGAATAAGGAGAGCAGGATTTGACCTAAGCTTGTTTTTTAGGGAGCTAGGAGCTAGGCACACTAGCTAAGCCTAGCTGCTAGCTCCCTTGACTGTGCTCAGGACCTAGAGGACATGCAGATTTCTCCCACAGTGTGGTATCTGATATCCACAGCACAAGTGGGGAATGTTAGATACCTGTGCTTACACTTTTCCCACTAACTGAATTCTTTTCAGAGATGAAAGAGGGTAAGATGCTGTGAGATTAGTCTGCTTCTTTATACTGGCCAAATTATTTCAGTGTTCCTCAATGTCTATGTCACATCTGCATTGCACTCTGTCATTCTGTCTCATGCTCTACATGAAAATAATTGATGCTCTTCCTGTTTTGATTATATGTTGTTGTACTGTCCAGCAGACAACTATAGTCAGACATTTTACTTTAGGGTTTGAATTTCTTACTGGAGAAATAAAGAAGTTGAAAATTGTCATTATGGTTAATTATTTCTGTGCATAAATTATAAAACACTAAATTATACACTTTAACTTGGATAATTGTATATATGTCAGTTGCATTTCATGAATATTTTTATGAAACAAATTTATTGAACCAGCTTAATGAATCAAAATATCTAAGAAAATTGCTTTCAGTTGCATACTTTATCTCAATATCTGTGATAAGTATTTGAAAATCTCTGTAAACACAAACAACTGGTCAATTTCTGCTCCTCTTGGTATGGATATTAAATGCTTATATAATGCAGGCAGTTCACAAGGGTGATTAATCTGTACCTCACTAGGTCAAAAGTCCTTAACCAAACGGGAGGTATTCGATGTGACCATAAAAAAACCACACTAACTTTGAATTTTTCATTTACTGTTTCAGTCCATTCACTTTGATTCGTTATTTAGTGATTTATTGACCCATCAAAGTTATAGATTAACTTTGTGATTTCCTTTACATGTATTTAGTGAGTGTCATTAGTAATGGCAGCGTGGAACAGACTGTGAAAGGCAGCTCTCAACCTTACCAGGATGTGTAGGAAAATGAAGATACTTCTCCTGCTGCTGCTACAGCTATGTTGTTACTTTAGAGCTGGAAGTTGTGGAAAAGTTCTAGTGTGGCAAATGGAATTCAGCCACTGGATGAATGCAAAGGTAATACTTGTTGAACTTGTGCAGAGGGGACATGAGGTGACATTTCTCAGACCTTCATCTTCTGTTTTTTTTGATCTCAATAATCCATCTGGTATAAAATTTGAAACTTTTCCTACATCTGCCACTCCAGAAGAAATGGAGAAATTTTTCACACAATGGATTGAAAACTGGATATATGCTGGGCCAAAGGATATCTACTGGAAATACTTTCCACAACTACAAAAGCATTTTTGGGACTATTCTGAAGTTTCTCAAAGCATTTGCAAAGATGCAGTTTTGAACAAGAAGCTTCTGACAAAGTTACAAGAATCAAAGTTTGACGTCCTTCTTGCAGATGCAGTCTTTCCCTGTGGCGAGCTGCTGGCAGAGCTACTGGAAATCCCTTTTGTGTACACTCTCCGCTACAATCCTGGCTACACATATGAAAAGTACAGTGGAGGGCTTCTATTTCCTCCTTCTTATGTACCTATTATTTTGTCAGGATTAAGTGGTCAGATGACCTTCATGGAGAGGGTAAAAAATATGATGTGCATGCTGTATTTTGACTTTTGGTTTCAGACTTTAAATGAAAAGAAGTGGGATCAATTTTACAGCGAAGTTTTAGGTAAGTCTTATTTCCTGTTGCTCTTGTAAAGTGTTTATTGTTGTATGACTCTGAAGTGAGGTCATATTTCTGAGTAACAAGAAATTTATATTCTATAGCTTAAATGAAGAGATTAGATATAAATATCTCAGTTGCACAGCTACTGTTGGTAATCTTTCATTAGTAAGATGAGTTCCAAATCACAATAGACTTTGAGAAAAAGAAACAGAGGAACAACTGCAATCAGTACTTCTTTTAGATGTAAGCAGCAATGATTGTTAATCTAAATAGCAGCAGGCACCTTGGGTAGGGGCCCAAAACCTTCATTGTCAGGTCCTTGCTATGTGGTTTGCTACCCAATTTGATCCGTGTTTAATCAACATTAGCTAAATGACTATACTTGTTATCTTATTGATTGATTATAGTTCTGTCCCACCTTGAACAAACCTCACACTAAGTTTTGCTCAGTAAAACACCTTTGAAAAGTTGGGTCAGCAGGTAGTCTATTTTCTGGGTGCCTTTCTGCCCTCTGAGGCTCTCAAACTGAAATTTCTTTCTCTCAAAATTTCTTCCTACTAAAACTAAAATGGAAACTAAAACTAAAACTAAAACTAAAGCTAAAGTTAAAGATAAAGCAAGCTACAACTAAACTAAACTAAACTAAACTAAACTAAACTAAACTAAACTAAACTAAACTAAACTAAACGTCCTGATATTACAAGACATACAACTAGAAAGTATAACTCTTAATTAAATATCTACTTTTCTGTACAGTTTAACATTTTATGAAAGGTCATTAGCAACTTCTCTTTATATTTAGATTAAGACCTATAGATTGACAAATAGCAAAACTATTAATTGCTGAAAATTATTTACTTTAGCAGATCAATTTTGGTATTTAAAATTAAAATCTTTTCTACTACCCTGAAGATTTTCTTCACAACTGAAACATACAGTATTCTATGACCAATGATTTCTCTTTCCATCATTGGCTAGTTACCATTCATCTGTTGTAAAGGCCCAACATATTTTTTAAATGGAATATACATTTAATTAGTCTATTTTCAGAGTAATTTTTATCATTAAAAATAAGAGTCAAAATTTTGGATAAAAACACAACTGTAATTTGACAATTTCTAAACATTTTCTTGGTGGTAGATACAAATATCTGTACATAATAAACGTTATAGATCTTACAGTAAAAAAAATAACTGTAGATATTAGAGTGTCAACCTCAGTTTTAAAAATTGACAGTTCACTTAGAAGACCAGGAACCTGATTTCTAAATTGCAGAAAGTTGACTGTGAAGTCTTGGGAAAATATTTCCAATATTATAGTAGGATTATTCAAGGATGGAGCTAAAATTGTTGTTTAATTTGGATTTGCAATTTTATATAGCGAATTAATTCATGATTAAATCTATAAGATCTAATTTTAGTTACTAGTTACTATGAATAAGAATGTGCTGAGTCAAGTCAGAAATGTAGTAACTCCCAGTGTCCTTCACAAACACACACACACACACACACACACACACACACTTACCATGTATAAAAGCAGGCATATCTATGCTTTATATTAGGTATAAATTATTATATCTGTTCTTTTAATGCAGAGATATTTATACATCATTAGTTCCAACATCAACTGCAATAGTTCAAAATACAGGACATATTGATGTGACAACTTGCTCACTATAATGTGCTTCTACTGTCCTGTTTTCCTCTTTTCCTTTTGTCTTTCTTTGTATCCTTTTCTTCTTTCCTTTTTTTCTTTCTTTCACTCTTCCTTCTCCCCTCTTAGTTTACTCCTTCTCCCCTCCCTCTACTGAAGATCGAACTCATGAGCTTGTGCCTGCCAGGCAGGTGTCTGTGCCACTGAACTAAATCCCAGGCCAGTTTTCTCATCTTTATTTTTCTTTTCCTGTTTTCTTTCTTCATTTAGGGAGACCCACTACATTATACCAAATGATGGCAAAAGCAGAAATATGGTTCATTCGATCCTACTGGGATTTGGAATATCCTCGACCAACCTTACCAAATACTATTTTTGTTGGTGGACTCCACTGCAAACCTGCCAAGCCCTTGCCTAAAGTAAGAATATCTCTGGTTTGGTTTGATTTGGTTTTGGTTGGGTGGGTTGGATTGGTTTAGTTTGATTTGGTTTGATTTGGTTTTGGCTTTTCATTTTCAAGAAAAATAATTGTCCACTACTCTTTCAGAGGCTTGTTCAAAATGAGAGCAATGTGTGAATTGACATAAGGCACCCTTCCAAGAAAAACGCATGTTTCTCTCCTATCACAACTCTCCATATTTCATCCAGATTGTTAAACTAAATCAAGAGGCTCATTATGTGTAGAAATAATTTGTGACTAGATAATCCAAAGAGTAAAACGTATCTAAGGCAAGTATTATATAGTAAAACAAAAATCCAGGTCAGGCAAGTTAAAATTGGAACTACTTAACAACAACAGCAAAAAAAAAAAAAAAAAAAAAAAAAAGGAAAATTTTCCAAATTCAGTTCCTGGGTTTGGTTGTAGAATGATTATGGGAGGGGGTGGAATTCAGAAAATTGTAAGACTTCAGGCAAAAGATAACAGTACTTATACTAAGATTTTCAAACAAATGACTACACATACTCATATAAGGGCAGCAACCACATAATGGATTTGGAGAAAAATAGTTAAAATGTACGACAACTCTTGAAACATTTCTAGTACTTGATCAGTGATCTAGATTAATGCTTACTGCTAATGTTATTGTTATCATTAATTCTATTAATTATCTAGTATATGTGAGAAACTTGACATGTAATGTCATCCAGTAGGAAATGAAATCTAACATTAAATATTATCCTCAAGAAAAATCGTAGGAAATAGAAATCCTATAGATTGCCTAAATGTAAATGTATGTATCTAACTGTCACCAAAGAAAACACATTATTCCATTTAAATGGTATGCACTAATAGCTCTAAAAATATTAGAAACAAAGTAGAAAATTCATGAATTTAGTATCAAGAGGATGATGAAATGCTAAAAAAATGAAATGCAAGTGTTCAGGGTTGTTTAAAAACCAGTTTTGTGCATTAAAATAAAGATTATGTATAAATAGTATAAATTTGAAATCTTAACAGTATTTGCAGCCAAATCACCTGTTTTCTTGCTTTCATCCCAGCACTTATTACTGCTGATTTGGAATTTCAGTTTTATGCTTAGGAGTACAGCCAGAATGAATTGCAGTATTGGAAGAGGTGTTTAGTGGTTCGCTTAAGCCTACTCGGACACTGCAGTTAAGTATCTTAGGAGCCTAGACAAATCACCTCTGGAATTAGCCCTGAGATTTGAATTATAATACAAATCACTCTACATGTTGGATAGTATAACTTACGCAGAAACTAAGGAAAAAAATGAATTTAAAATTGAAATTAAATTTTTAAGCTATATTTTAAAATAAAATAATTCCTTACTGTTTATTATGTGTCACCTTTGAAGTTATCTTTTCTCTATCTTCTTATTAGCAATGAAAATTCTTGAACTTGTTAAATCATTAAAATCTAATACATATTTTGAATTCAAATTACTTAGATTCTTTAAGGTTGTTTTTCTCAACCCGAAGATTGAAGAAATCTTATTGAAAGTTCAATACAACATGTTCTTATATATGAAAGAATTTTTGTTACTAAATAAAAAAACAGGATTAGTCAAAGTGGGTAAAACATAAGGTGAAAAATATGAAGAAAAAACAGTAATATTAGAATAGCATTGCTTAGTAATAATAACAGTGGTTAATAAGCTGTACATGTAAGACTTGCATCCAAATCAAGTATTACGAAATTTATTTACTTAAAATTTTCTGTCTTTTCTCTAACATACAGGATTTTTTCATTATAAAATATTGAAAAAAATTCTTTCTTTGGTTAACACTTGAAATTTTTGAATAATTTGATGAAATCTTAAAAATATATTTACCCTAAAATATTCAGACAAGAATAATCAAAATATACTATACCAACATTAATAGAAATTTTAATAAAAACAAACATATATAATAAGCTACATATCCAGCTAAAGAATATTTGTTGACATCAAAGCAGCCATATAAAAGTTTGGTTAGAAATGAAGACAAAAAGAATATAAATCGAAATATCATACATTTCATGAAGTATGAAAAAAATAAATTCAATACAATTGCTTAAAAATGCAGAAAATAAATTTCATGTAAAGTTTTAGTTGGCAAAAGGATATATTTTAGATGCACTGCACAGTAGTGAGAATGTAATTAGCACAGTTAGAAAAGTTTAAGGAAGCATCTGACGTACTTAACTTCTGTCATTCCTCCTATGATACCTGAAAAGATGTGGCTTCTCTCACTTTTTATTTAATCCTTTCAAAGCTGTTTGTCATGCCATTCTTCTTTTATGATGGAGCAAATTCTCTCCCCACAGGAAATGGAAGACTTTGTGCAGAGCTCTGGAGAACAAGGTATTGTGGTGTTTTCTCTCGGGTCAATGGTCAACAACATAACGGAAGACAAAGCCAATATGATTGCTTCAGCTCTTGCTCAACTTCCACAAAAGGTTAGATAATGTGTCTCAGTGCTCTCAAGGCAAAAGCACTCCTAGTTGCTAAATTCTCTATTGACTCCAACTGAAGAACTTCCTATTTGATAATTAGTGTTATAACTCTAATTTATCTTAGCAGTTTAAAACCAAGCTATAGGGTCAATATTAGTAAAAGAGGAAGGACTTTTGATGCTAGCATTTATATTAGAGAAAAATGTACTTAACAAGTTAGGTTGGTGAGGTTTTCATGAGATTGTTTGTAGATATTTCAGAAACGACAAAACCTGTATTGTCTCATTCTCCTGGAGAATTCCTAAGCATACAGAACAAATAAAAGGTGTTTCAGAAAGAAGTGAAATCTGAGTTATTACTCTCACTAACATAAAGCAATATTCAGGTATTTGAAAGAGGGGGCATTTCATCATGCCCTGTAAGATTCACAAGAAATCTCTGCCTTATAATTTATTGTAGTTTTGGAATTGGGCTATTTGGTGCGCTGTTCATGAGACTTCTGAGAAAGTTAGCCAGAGTTTATCAATCCTGAGTAAAAGTACTGTCAATATCTTGAGAAAAGGCAGTTGGCCTTCTTAATCTGGAGCCTACAACATCTGAAACAGGAAGATGTAAGAGGATGGTGGCGATGAGGCCATGTTTTACTAATGAGCACAGTGCAACACTAACATGTGTCTCACAAGGACACTACTCCTTTCCAACCCGATTCAAACATCTGAGTAATTGAGGAAGAAGAAGGAAAGTGAGAAAGCTTCAAGCAGAATCAAACTTGGAAAAGGAAGAGGTTCCATACTTCTCCAGAAGACATAGTAGGCATTAGTTTTCTGTTATATAGAATACAAATTTAATTGTTAGATATTTGTGAACTACTTTTGTGTTTCTATCAGGTGTGTTATTTTTGTTATCAGTATGCTACCTGCCATTTGAAAATCAGAAGTTACTTGTAATGTTTGCAGACTTAGAAATAAAAGCATTTATAAATTATTCTTCATTACATGTGATGACTTGAAAATTTCTAAATATTACATTCCCCTTGAATAGGCATGGAAATGATTTGCCTTTGGCAATCACATCTCTGCTGTGAATGAGCGTCATAGTCCATTATTTTTTTATGTTTCCAACAGTCACATAGGACTTCCCATCCTAGCACTAACGATGATATTCTGAATTGATATTGAAAGTGTCATTGGAAGTTTCCCAAAAGAAGTAATTCTTTTTCTGTAATTTAAAGCAAGTTTTATGTAATTCATTCTCAGAGTCTTTTATTGATTTCTCTCCAAAAGCTGAGTAAGACTGTTACTTTATAAATGAAGAAATATCAAACTATAATAAAATACAATAAATAACTGAATATGTTATCTCTAATAGCATTAAAATACAAAAGGTGATTTTAAATTTAGAAGCTGCATTTTATGTGAAGGTTTTTTTCCTGTAACAATTTATTATTTTTCTGTATGAGAGAATGATGATTGCATAGAAATTTCTTAAAACTTCAATTTATCACTCAGTAGGTCACTTGCTCTACTGTATTAAAAATCATGATAGCACTTATCTGATCAAATATAAAGCCACATAGAAGTATCTATGTTGCTTTTGCCTTTTGCACATTATTTAACTTTTCTTGATCTCATTTCCTCACCTGATACGTGGAACACATTTAACTTAGTGAGGCCTGAACTTCTTATATTTAAGTATACAATAAATGCAAGTTTAATAAAATATTATGGTTTACACATTAGGTCAAATTGAGCAGTCTAGCAGCTTAACTAAGTGACTCTACATCCCGAGGTTAGAGAACAAGTCATTACTCCTCTGTGATGTTGCTGATTATGTCAATTTGAGAAGGTCCTAAATTTGAGTAAATAATTCAGTAGGGGGACAGGGTCCTTACTTTGTAACATCCTCACTTGTGCAAGATGAGGGCAGGCACATGGTGTGAGTGCTGCACCCACCCAATGGGCATAGCTTGCTTACAATATAACCGAGGAAAAAAGGCTTGTTCTCTCTCCTTTCTGGCTCTTGTTACTTTGCTGTCTTCTGTCACCTTGAACTGTTGCCTCTGTGCCCTGCCACCCTGCCTTGGAACCAGCTGATTATAAACTGAAACCTCCATGAACTGTAAACTAAATAAAGCTTTCCTTCCTTAATTTTGAGTAATGGGTATTTTGTCTCAGCAGTGAGATGAAAGTAGCTAACTCAGAAGTTGAATACAATGTTTTCTTTATCTAATAGGTTATTTGGAGATATAATGGAAAGAAACCTGATACGCTAGCACCCAATACTCGAATGTACCAGTGGATTCCCCAAAATGACCTTATTGGTAAGATTCTAGAGACCAAATACTGAAAACGCAATAATGGTTAATTCATTATGGCAGCTAAATTTAAAAAAAAAAAAAAGAAATAGATCAAGCATTTATTTTTATAAAAGCTGAAAAATAACCCAAGGTTGTTTTGTCTATTTTTGAGTGTGAAGGCAAATGTAATAGTGTGCATTTCTTTATGGAGTCAAAATATTTATGGTCAGAAACAAAATATCTTCAATTGTAGTTACTTCTCATTGAATACTTCTTAATAACTAGGTTATCTCTGACCCCTAATTCAGTAAGATTCTGTTTTCCCTAAGACAGGAATATTTCAATAATATTTAGAAGTGTCAATATTGTTTAATTATGAATGAGTATATTTTCTATGAGAAAAAATATTTCACACTGTTTATTAAAAAGTAATAACATTTTCTCTGATTTTACTATGTCCCCATAATTCTTTGAGCAATCTTCACATTAGACTCAGTGAAATTGCTTTTTTTAATAAGACAGGTTGTAACATGCACATGATCTTTCTTTGTTGCTTGATCTCTTTTATTCATCCTGCCTGCTATTTGTTCAAGTAACAATCATGTATTCATTAATCAGCTCTCAATGCACACAATATCTCTGCCATCAAATCTTCACTTACCAGTAGAGTGTGCTGAGGTGCTTCTTGTTTTGAGATGGAAAGGCATTTTTAAAGTCAGATTAAAAGACTCGAAAATTTTTACCTAAAGACAATTTCCTTTTCATCACTTCATGTTATGCGTTTCTTATTGTGTGAAATTTACAACTAATAATATGACTGAAATTCTAATTCCAGGTCATCCTAAAACCAAAGCTTTTGTAACACATGGAGGAGCCAATGGTATCTACGATGCCATCACTCATGGAGTCCCTATGGTGGGGATACCTTTGTTTGGGGAACAACGTGATAACATAGCTCACATGAAAGCCAAAGGAGCAGCTGTTGGATTGGAGTTCACAACAATGTCAACTACAGATTTGGTCAACGCACTGAAGACAGTCATTAACAATCCTCTGTGAGTATGATATAATTATTGCACAGAATATCATGCAAATTGTGATGAAAGGCCAGAGTGTCACAATGAATCTAAATATGAACCTATTTATGAGTAGAAATTTACTTAGTGCTGGATGAAAATTGTTCATTTCTAATTGTCACCATCATAATTTTTTAATGATTTTATGGGAAAATTTGTGTAATGTCTAAACACAGCACCATTAAAGGGAAAATGAATGAAGATAATTAGAGAAGGAATATAAAGAAGCATTAGAAAATCAATGAAACAAGGGGCTGGGGATTTAGCTGAGCGGCATAAGCACCTGCCTTGCAAGCAGGCGGTCATGAGTTCGATCTCCAGTAACAATGGAAAAAAAAAATTCAATGAAACAGAGAGACATAAATATGATAACAATATAATTTTCAGCCAAGATATTACTTTCCTTCACCACGTTAATATTTTTTCTAGAAAGTTTGCATACATTTAAGATATACATATGATTATATGGAATATATACAATACATAGAAATCAATACACTATTGGGTATGGTGGCGCACACCTGTAATCCCAACACTCAGGGGGCTGAGGCAGGAGGATTGTAGCAAGTTCAAGACCAATCCTTGGCTACAAAGCGAGTTTAAGGCTGGCTGGAACTGCACAGTGAAACCCTGTCTCAAAAAGACAAAAACAAAACAAAACAAAACAAAACAAAATACTTCCATAGTATAACAAGTTAATATAGCCAGTGTATCCATATACTTATTTACTTAAACCTTTCTAAATTTTTTTTCTGTAAACCGGTAAAATATAATGTTTCTAAGTGCCTTTACATTTAATCCTTCTTTAATGTTTTTGGTTAATATTTTTTATCATTATACTTGTTCTTTGAAAGCATTTTATACTGTATGTTTCTCTATTATATTAAAAATATATCAAGATTTGAGCACTCTCCTAAGTGCTCATTGTTATTAAAAATCTCATTGTTATTAAAAATCATTGCTACTGTGCTAAGTCACACTATAAAACACTGTGACCTAGACTTGGTAAGCCTGATTCCTACTATACCTTATGTCCTGTACCGTAATCACCTCAACATCAGGAAAGCAGCTGCAATTCCTTGGTGTAAAATGTTGACCAACTTTCAGAATCTAAATTCACAATATTAACAAGATTGACATCAACAGCATTAATAAAAAACATATACTGAGTTGATCACATAATAAAAAAATCCAAATTATTCTAAATTCTTTTTTATTTTTCTTTTGGTATTGGGGAGTGAACCCACGATCTCATGCTTGCCGACAGGGACTTACGCCGCTGAACTAAACCCCGGGCTGAATTCAAATTATTCTAAAAATCGGTATATTATTGCTCACAGTAATTAAAGAAACTAATAAATCAGTTCACTGCACTTACAACTAAAACTAGGAAAAGGGACATTTATAAAATAACAAGAAAACATTGTTAGTCAGTATTAAATGGAAGCAATCTGATTTTGTAATTTTAAACATTAATACAACAATAAAAATTTTAAATTGAATTTCTGTCATTACCAACTCATTTTTACCCAGAGTTGGAACTGATTCTTAGCACAGACTTGCCTTCTAACCATATATTATGACATTTACTGTAACTTTGTTCATGATGTCCATTAACATGTGATTATTCTATAATTTGCACCTAAAAATATAGCTTTGATGTTCTTGGTTTGAATTTAGGACTTAATACATTCACACTGATTGATTAAAACTATTTGCACTCTCTTACCTTTTTTTCTATACATTACATACTTTGTATTCAAAAAGTTCTATTTACAATCATCTCTATAATTTTCAGTGAAGTACATAATCTATATTAGTTCTACTTTTTGTGTGTTCTCAGCTTTATCTGCTACCCAAAAGTGTGTATGCCTGTATTTTGCTTCTATTCTATAAGTTGATGTCTACTTGATTTTTATTTAGCTATAAAAAGAACGTCATGAGGTTATCAACCATTCACCATGATCAACCAATGAGGCCCCTGGACAGAGCAGTCTTCTGGATGGAGTTTGTCATGCGCCACAAGGGGGCCAAGCATCTGAGGCCTCTTGCCCATAACCTCACCTGGTACCAGTACTACTCTCTGGATGTGATTGGCTTCCTACTGGCTTGTGTGCTGACCATTTCTCTACTTGTCATAAAATGTTGCCTATTTTGTTATCAAAAGATGTTAAAGATAGCAAAGAAAAAGAAGGAGTAGACCGAGAGACCCATAGATACTAGGTGTAATAAGTGGGCCTATAGTATTTAGTTTGTTCACTGTAGATCAAGCAGGGGTAGGATGATCCTCAGTGTTTTACAAGTCTGGCTCCCTCATTTGTTACATGCTATGTTGCCAGTGAAATATTGATGTTCAATGCTAATGTCATAATTCCTCAAATATACTTTGGCAGTCATGTATTATGCTTCTTTTAAAAAGTTACAGAATTGGTACTTTATATTTGAGAAAAGCAGAAAACTTGAAGTTTCACTTTGCAATTTCAGAAAGATTATCTTTAAATAAAATGATATGAAATGAGCTACCCGTGTTTCTGTTAAATAAAACAGAAAGAAATATGATGAACTTTATGAGATACAATTCATTCAGAGTCAATAGTGTTTTTTCTTTCTGTGTGTGTATGGATGTGTGTGTGAAACCAGGCATTAAACTCACAACCTTGCTCTTGGCAAGCAGGTATTTATGCTGCTTAGCTAAATCGCAAGCCCTCAGACTCTATAGTTAAGGGGAAAAATTTCAGAATAAGTTCAACTAAATTCTACTAAGACAAAGATGACTGAAGGTTTTGGAAAATGAAAAAAAGGAAAATGAGGCAACCCTTGATGGCACAGGCCTATAACCTTGCGAATTAGGAAGGGAAGATAAGAGTACAACAAATTCAGCACCAGCCTCAACAACTAAAAGAGGCACTGTCTCAAAATGAGAAACGGAAGGACTAAGAGTGTAACTCTGGGGTACGGTTTTAGGCTCAATTCAGAGTATATGCAAAAATAAAAGATAACAAAGGAAAGAAAGAGAAAGGAAGGGATGGGAAAAGAAGGGAAGGGAGGGAAGGGGAGGGGAGGGAGGGGAGGGAAGAATGAAAAAGGGGAAAGGAAAAGAAAAACGTGTCTTAATTACTTTTCTCTTTTTGCTGAGACAAAATACCTGAACTGTAAAGTTAAAGGAGGAAAAATTCACTTAGCTCGCAGTTTATGGAGGTTTCAGTCTATAATCTCCTATTTCCAAAGCAGAGTGGCACATGGCAAAGAGGGAGAATATTCATGGCAGCAGAAGACAGCAAAGGCAACAAGATCAAAAAAGAGAATCAAGCCTCTTTTCCTCCCTTATATTGTATGCAGGCTACTGATCCTGGGCCATGTGAAGAACTGAAACTCCAAATCCCAGGTAGACAATGAATCCATCACAATTTCTAGATTTAGCCTTCTCCAAAATACCTGCTGCTGTGAACATCTGAGGCTTTACAGAGACATCCAGACACAAACCATAACAGAAATAAAGAGAGAAAGAAAGAGAGAAGAGAGAGAGAGAGAAATTAAGGAGATGAATATTGGACCACATTGAAACAAAAAACCAAAAGTAAACAAAATTTGAATGACCTGGCAAGGAAGGATCAGACCATGTAAATTTTGCAGTTTGAGAGAATCATATTTTCATGACCAAAGGAGTACTGTGGATCCTGTGGTCACCGTAGAGATATAACCCATGAATTAATGAAGGTAGAGGCCAGGCTAGATTCAGTCAGGTCTCTTTGCATGGTTTTAGTTCAAATACTTTGAACTACTCATGAATTATCAGTACATAACTCCAGTGAAATATATTTATTTAGAATGACTTTATTTGTGTATGAAATTCTGGGCCTAACAGAATTGCTACACAGTTAAAACTGTGTAGTTTAGTGACATATTTGGTAAGAAAGACAAATGGTCTTTTCTAAATGTCCCTTTGAATAGTTTCTGTTCTTACTTTAGTGATAAATTGGCTGCTAAAGAAGAGGAGAGGGAGAGAGAGGCTGAGAGACAGAGTGACAAAGAGAAACTGTTTCTATAGGTGATGAATATTAGCAAAGACGGCTGTGGCCCTGAAAAGTTTAGTTTGACACTACTGGATTATCATGGTAGATTTCCTCCTTGTTGTAATAAGATAGTAAGTTCTCTCATTCTCAGATGTTTCCAGTCACATGTTTACCTGGGATATTGAGGATATGAAAAGCAGAAAGTCATATTACCTTTGTGTTTATCATGCTCACTCCATAACCCATAAATTCAAAGGAAGGGTGGAATAAAGACCCAAATGTTGTGTGTAGTGATTTTGTAGTGCCCAAGATTCAAAGAACATTATTGACAGCAAAAGTCTCCATGTCTTTTCCTTCAGATGCCAACAGTAATAGTCTTTGGGCCAGTCCTCAGTTTGTGGAGAAGAAATAAACCAAGACAAGAGCAGTTCTTTTATGTGATCCATATTTACATAGTTGGCAGGAAGAGAAATTATTATCACTTTTGATATATGGAAAATATTTATAGCACTTATCTATATATCAGAAACTATGATATATCAAGGAAAGAAATAGATGATGAATTTTTTATTACATTTAAAATAATGCAGGAAAAAGTAAAAAATAAATAGTACAGTTTAATATGAGAAACAAATAGTGTGTATATGCACTTCATTCGCATCAATAAATTTGATTAAAAAGAGAAATCTTGAAAGCATGAACCGTTCTTTTTGATGAACTTACAAAGATTAGTAGTACAGTTATCTATCTTTTATATACATATACATGCACATATATCCATATATATCCATATATGTATACCCATATATGTGTCTATAATTGTATAATATTTTCCCTTCTTATTTTCTCTATTTTCCTATCCCACTTGTTTAAATGTTATAACCTGAATAACTATTTCTAAGAAAAAATATTCAATATATTAACTAGTGTTAATTTCCCATTTTTGAAATTCTATAACATTCCATTTTTTTCTTGGTTCTTAAAGTTACAAATATTGTAGAAATCTTACCCATGTATGTTATTTTGAGTCAGTGATGTATTGATAGGCACATCTAATAAATATATACATCTAAGAAAATTTGTAAACATAAATTCACACTAGAATGTGTCACACAAATCAAATCAATTTGAAACATCTATGACTGAAATATTGACATGCTTCTTCATAATTAATTCTTTCTGCTTTCAAATGTCTCAGTTGTCAAAAATAATTACACACAAACTCAAAGTAGTCACATCTAAAGACAAAATGACCTAACATTCTTTATAATTGCAGTCATCTTGGTTTGGATGATGCTTGAAAGTAGAAAAATATAAATCCCATGTGGAATAGAGAGAAAATAAAACTTTCAATCATGTGGTTTTGAATATAACCCAAGATACTCATCCAAGGACGATAATCATCTATGCTAGAGACTAACAGTATAACTAGTGGTTTTAAGTAGATTTTCATATAGAAGGCAATGACTATTGAAATAACACATGTTAATCAAAAGTTTCTTATTGTATAAACTGAAGTATCCTTAAGTATGCCTTGTACCATGCAATTTATTAAAATATAATAAATAATCAAAGACATGAGTGAATTACAATGAAGAACAACAAACTTTAGAAAGGAGCAGTCTCTGGTTCTCTAACCCCTTTCAAATTCACAGCTGTTGACATTCAGCCAATTGCTAAGGAGAAATGTCTACAATCTCTAGATTGAATATGACAGTGCATGAAAATGCAAGACAGTGAATTAAAGTCTAGGACAATAAATAACAATATTAAAATTACTTTTATTTGTTAGCATTTCAAATGTTGTATCTTTGGTCATTGTCTCACTAAATGGCTCTTATTATCCAAATAATTGGCTAGTGAAGTGTGCAGCCTCTGTGGTGGTTACTTTCCTGATTTCCAAGTGAATAATCAGAACTGACATAATGAGTTGAGGTTTTGTTTTTAGTAATCACTAGCTTAGTCCAGAATCAAGAAAGGCCATTGTTTTGGATTACTAGTAACCATCAAAGTACTATTCTTTCTGTTTCTCTCTCTCTCTCTCTCTCTCTCTCTCTCTATATATATATATATATATATATATATATATATATATATAATTTCCACTCTATTGGTCAATTATTTGTTGTGCAACCTTTGATGAGGGTTTTCTGGTGGTGAAGTCTTGCTCTCTGTTCCTATATTGCCAAATAGTGGGATATTTTCTGTAGAAATGCCAATTTTTTAGCCAGAATGTTCTGGGAACCAATTCTCTAAGAAACTACCTGCGTTTGGGTGTTCTGTTGGGCAAGGGGACTTCTGTTCCTCCATAGAGAGGGTATTATATGGTTTTAGAATTAGCAAAGAAAGATCCAGCCAATACAGCATCCCTGTTGTAGACTCTGTATATGAACTCTTCGTGGACATAATAGAAATTCTAAGATTCTATTGGAAAAGTGACTGGCACCCACACAGGGCTGGAAAAGTCCAGCCCCCAAGGAGTTCAGTGTTATCAGATGATGCTTTGGTAAAAGATGGACTTGGTTTTGGATAATCTAGAGGATGTCCATGAGATTTGAATGTGGGAACCTTCTCAAGGAAAGGCTGTTTTAGTCTGCTATGATGAAATCGCAAGTATTTCAGCACTACCAGATCATCTGCACATGACTGGAATTCTTAGCAACCATCAAGGGATGAGAAATCTGTTCCGCAATAATGAATCAAGGACTGAGTCAGGAAAGGCCTGTTAGGTTTTCCACAACTATTATTTACAAAATTCATTATAGGATATGTCTCATCCTTCATGCTTTAATGTTTTAATGTCTATTGACAAGTCTTTTTTCACTTAAACTAATTTAGACTTTAAGTCTAGAGAAGGTTAAATTATCTCACAACAGTATTTTATTATAGGTCCAGATATTAGAAAAAAGCTCCAGAAAATCCAACTTCTCCAACATCCCGAAATAACTCAAATAGTTGACGTGGCTTACTTGGCATTTACCAATCAGGATGAAGTAGAGGACAAATGAGAGAGGCTAAGCCATGCATGTCATTTTTAATAAGGTTCAGAACAAAGCCTGCCATGCTACGGGAAAGGGAGATAACAGAAAGGGTGCTGAAAACAAGCTAAAGGGCTTCAAGAGTAAGTAACTTGGGCACTGGGCAAAGGAGTGTCCTCAGAAACTGCCTAACCCATGTTGAGTCTGTCAGAACACAGAAAAAGATCCTTGACCTTGGTAAAATGACTGCCATTGTTTCCAGACCTGGATAATATCCATCACCACAGTGATCAGAGATTGTCCAAGGCTGTCTGCATGCACACCCACACAAAAGTATTTCGATTAGTACTCAGGAGCGTCAGGTGACTGTAGATATACAGGCCAACAAATTATATTTCTCCATGAGAGTGTGGTGATTAATTCAATTCTAGTTTATTATTAAAGTGAGATTTTATCCTATTCTCAAGTTCTTGTGTGTCTTGAAGTAGTTAACTGCACAGCTTTCATTGCTCCTACTCCAAACTGCTGTTTGGAAGATTTTCTTTGCAAAATTCCATTATAGTTACACAGTAGTGACTCATACCTGTAATT